GTGTCCCCGGCCAGCTGCCCTCGTGGATGCCTCCCGGCGGCGGCGGGCCCATGACAGACTGCGAGTACAGCCAGATCAGCACCCACAGCTCCTCCCCCATGGAGTCGCCCCACAAGAAGAGGAAAATCGCGGCCCGCAGAAAATGGGAGGTTTTCCCGGGCCGAAACAAGTTCTTTTGCAACGGGAGGATCATGATGGCCCGGCAGACCGGCGTCTTCTACCTGACGCTCGTCCTCATCCTGGTCACCAGCGGACTCTTCTTCGCCTTCGAGTAAGTGGCGGCGATACCGCACCCCCCTTTGCCTCCCCCCGACCCCTGCCTCTCCACGCGCTACTTTCGTTTTCTAGAATCCTTATCTCCTGGAAGCTGTTATATAATTCCACCCCGCGCTCCCGTTTTTTCTTTGAGAGATCTGTTTGCCTTTCGGTGCCCAGAGATACATGCAGTTCTGGGTCGCGTTTCTGGGAGTGGACCGGAGAGGGAAGTGAGCAGACACCTGTCGGTGTGCCTGGCCTGGTTGCTCACAACAGTGGGGTGGACCCACCAGGTGGGGCGCCCGCAACTGACCTCTCTGCTGAGTTTGGGGAACTAGCAAACCAGCCTTCTGGGGTGGAGGTGGGATGGATTCTACGTTAGGAATAAATAAAATCGGTTTCTTTTCTGGTAACAAGAAGTAGAGTATCTTGTTAAGCTCAGTTTACTAAATCTTCTCTATTTTTTCTCTGAATACTGAAGAATCTTGGTTAGTTTATGTTTAAAAGTGTAGGACAGCCAATGTCTTGTGGATGGCTAATTTCATTCTCCTTCGATGTTCACTCTTGATGAACAATTTCTGATTTACCATGTCGTTGTTGTTGTTAGGTGCTGTGAAATCAGTTCAGACTCATAGTGATCCTGTGTACAACAGAAGGAAATGCTGCCCCATCCCGTGTCATCCTCATAATTGTTGTTATGCTTGAGCCCATTGTTGCAGCCACTATGTTAATCCATCTCATTGAGAGTCTTTCTCCTTTTCGCTGACCCTCTACCTTACCAAGCATGATGTCCTTCACTAGGGACCAGTACCTCCTGATAACATGTCCAAAGTACTGAGACAAAGTCTCCCTATCCTCACTTTTAAAGAGTGGCTGTACTTCTTCCAAGACAGTTTTGTTCCTTCTTCTCGCAGTCCATGGTATATTCAGTATTCTTCATCAACACCATATTTCGAAGGCATCAGTTCTTCTGTCTTCCTTATTCATTGTCCAGCTTTCATATGCATATTAGGCAACTGAAAATATCATGGCTTGGGTCAGGCGCACCGTAGTCCTCAAGGTGACGTCTTTGTTTCTTAACACTTTAAAGAGGTATGTTGCAGCAGATTTGCCCAATGCAATACATTATTTGATTTCTTGTTTGCTGCTTCCATGGGCATTGATTGTAAATCCAAGTAAAATGAAATCCTTGACAACTTCAATCTTTTCTCCGTTTATGATGATGTTGCTTATTGGTTCAGTTGTGAAGATTTTTGTTTTCTTTATGTTGAGGTGTAATCCATACTGAAGGCTGTATGTAGTCTTTGATCTTCATCAGTAAGAACTTAAAATCCTATTCACTTTCAGCAAGCAAGGTTGTGTCATCTGGATATCGCAGGTTGTTAATGTGTCTTTCTCCAATCCTGATGCTCCAGTGTTCATATAGTCCACCTTCTCAGATTATTTGCTCAGCATGCAGATTGCATAAATATGATGAAAGGATACAACTCTGACGCACACCTTTCTTGACTTTAAACCATGTAGCATCCCCTTGTTCTGTTTGAATGACTGCCTTCTTGGTCTACATACAGGTTCCTCATGAGCACAATTAAGTGTTCTGGAATTCCCATTCTTCCAAATGTTACCCATTAATTGTTATGATCTGCACAGTCAAATGCCTTTACATAGTCAATAAAACACAGGCAAACATCTTTCTGGTATTCTCTGCTTTCAGACAAGATCCATCTGACATCAGCAATGATATCCCTTGTTCCACGTCCTCTTCTGAATCCAGCTTGAATTTCTGGCAATTGCCTGTCGATGTACTGCTGCAACCATTTTTGAATTTTCGGCATAATTTTACTTGCATGTGATATTAATGATATTGTTCGATAATTTCTGCATTCTGTTGGATCACCTTTCTTTGGAATGGGCATGTATGTATATCTCTTACAGTTGCTTGGCCAGGTAGCTGTCTTCCAAATTTTTTGGCATAGACGAGTGAGCACTTCCAGCATTGCATCCATTTGTTGAAACATCTCGATTGGTATTCTGTCAATTCCTACGGCCTTGTTTTTCACCAATGCCTTTAGTGCAGCTTGGACTTCTTCCTTCAGTATCATCGGTTCTTGATCCTATGCTGCCTCCTGAAATGGTTGAAGGTCAACCAGTTCTTTTTGGTACAGTGACTCTGTGTATTCCTTCCATCTTCTTTTGATGCTTCCTGTGTCATTCAATATTTTGCCCAGAGAATCCTTCAAAATTACAACTAGAGGCTTGAATTTTTTTTCAGTTCTTTCCGATTGAGAAATGCCAACAGTGTTCTTCACTTTTGGTTTTCTAACTCCAGTTCTTTACACATTTCATTGTAATACTTTAGTTTGCCTTCTCGACTGCCCTTTGAAATCTTTTGTCTAGCTCTTTTACTTTGTCATCTCTTCCTTTCACTTTAGCTACTCTATGTTCAAGAGCAACTTTCAGAGTCTCTTCTTACATCCCTTTTGGCCTTTTTTTTTTCTTTTCTGTCTTTTTAATGACCTTTTACTTTCTTCATGTATGATTTCCTTGATGTCATTCCACAACTCGTCTGGTCTTTGGTCATTAGTGTTCAATATGTTAAATCTCTTCTTGAGGTGGTCTCTAAATTCAGGTGTGATGTACTCAAGGTCGTACTTGGGCTGTCCGTGGGCTTGTTCTAATTTTCTTCAGCTTTAGCTTGAACTTGCATATGAGCAGTAAATGGTCTGTTCTGCAGTCGGCCCCTGGCCTTGTTCTGACTGATGATAGTGAGGTTCCCATTATCTCTTTCCGCAGACGTAGTCGATTTGATTGCTATGTATTCCATCTGGCTAGGCCCACGGGTATAGTCGCAGTTTATGTTGTTAAAAAACGGTATTTGCAATGAATAAGTCATTGGTCTTGCAAAATCCTATCATGCAATCCCCTGCGTCATTTCTATCACTGAGGCATATTTTCCAACTACTGTAGTTTATGTTGTTGGAAAAAGATATTTGGAATAAATAAGTTGTTGGTCTTGCAGAATTCTATCATGTGGTCTCCTGTGTCATATCTATCTCCAAGGACATATTTTCCAACTACTGATCCTTCTTTGTTTCCAACTTTTCACATTTCAATCACCAGTAATTATCAATGCATCCTGATTGCATGTTTGATCAATTTCAGACTACAGAAGTTGGTAAAAATCTTCAGTTTCTTCATCTTTGGCCTTAGTGGTTGGTGTAAATTTGAATAATAGTCGTATTAACTGGTCTTCCTTTTAGGCCTATGGATATTATCCCGTCACTGACAGTGTTGTATTTCAGGATTGATCTTCAAATGTTCTTTTTGAGGATGAAATTGATGCCATTCCTTTTCAATTTGTCATTATCAGCATCATAGACCATATGATTGGTTCAAAATAGTCGATACCAGTCCATTTCAGCTCACTAATGCCTGGGATGTCTATCTCCACCACTTGCCTGCCAGTTTGCTGTACTGTGGTGGCTTGGCGTGTTGCTGTGAAGCTAGAAGCTATGCCACTGGTGTTTCAAAAACCAGCAGGGTCACCTATGGTGGACAGGTTTCAGCGGAGCTTGCAGACTAAGACAGACTAGGAAGAAGAACCTGGCAGCCTACTTCTGAAAAAATTGGCCAGTGAAGATTTATGGATAGCAGCAGAACATTGTCTGATACAGTGCTAGAAAATGAGCCCCTCAGGTTGGAAGGCACTCAAAATATGACTGTGGAAGAGCTGCCTCCTCAAAGTAGCCTGTTGCCTTCGAGTTGATTCCGACTCATAACGACCCTATAGGACAGTAGTAGAACTGCCCCGTAGAGTTTCCAAGCAGCACCTGGTGGATTCGGACTGCTTACCTTTTCGTTAGCAGCCCAGTGCTTAACCGCTGCACCACATCCCGCAAAGTAAGAGTCGACCTAAATGAGATGGATGGAGTAAAGCTTTTGGGACCTTTATTTATTGATATGACATGACTTAATTTGAGAAGAAACAGCTGCAAATATCCGTTAGTAATTGGAACGTGGAATGTATGAAGTATTGAAGATTTACCATAAGGTTTCTAAATTCTTCACTTAAAGTTTCATAAAAAGGTTCAAATGAACACATTTCCCTCTCCTCTCCCAATACTGAGAAACAGGTAAAAGGAGACTCAGGACTGTGAAGGACCAGTACCACACTCTGTGGAAACTTCTTATTCCAGAAACAATACTTCGGACTTCAGGGATTTTGTCTGAAAAAAAGTGCATACCAGTTGTCCTGTTTTCAAGAGAATCAGATGGGCAACTATTCTGGTGTCAACTAGTTTATTAATAGTTATTAGATATGGCAGTTTAACCACATTGCAGAATCAATTTCAATTGCTGTTATTCAGTGCAACTTCTTATGTAATTCCTGTGTTTAATGAAAGTTGGCTAACTTTGTTTTCCCAGAATTTAAAAAAAAGCAATATATTTATACGGAGTTCTTCTCTGAGCTTCTCATATCCTAGTTATTATGGGGCATGATACTCTCAGTCTGCACCTACTTCTGTTGGATAGGGTTAATTAAACTTTTTGTGTTTATTTACTTTTGTCTCTGATAAGTACCGATAGCTCTGGTAGATGTCTGGTGTTTGCTACTCCAAGCGTTGTCTCAGTCAGAAATGCATGTTCCCTTTACTGTGTAATACCTTTCACAGAAAGCCTCCTGACTCTCCCAGGGGAAATGTTTTGTGTCTGAACATTGTGTTTTGATGAACACTTTTAACAGGATTGAATCAGAGCAGGCGAGGAGGGAGACCTCACATGTAAGCTACCCCCCAACAGTCATTCTCACACATGACCCCTCCCCGCCAACCCCTGATTCTGACTGTGTGTGAGTTGTCCAGGTCTCTCCTTGAAGTTTAACTTGTGTGCGTGTTTTGAGACCAGTTGTTGGAGTCTGTTGGTGGGCCTGGGGAGCAGGCGTGGCCAGGCTTTTGGAATGGAGAGGCAGAATTCTCTGTTCCTTGTGCTGCAGACCCGTGGGAAAGGGAGGAAGGG